CTGCCCTTCCTCGCCAGTACCGTTTTACTCCTCCTAGACCCGGTTCTGATCAAAGAAAATAAAACAGGAAGGAGGAGGCATCCGATGAATGTGACCTTCTCAGGCCGTCTCATGCAGTCAACTTCTTGCTTTTCCTCCGAAATTTTTGAGCGCTCTTCGGCTGCAAGTTAGGCAATGACGACTGGTCCGTTAATCCTCTTTAATTGAAGAGAGAGAGAGAGACGCTCAGCAGCGCGGGCTGTTTGCCCGTTCCTGGATAGAAAATGACATCTATGAAATCCGTGTCTATGGGTGCGCCTGTCCTCTAAACAGCTGAGCGGAACGGCCGCCGGGATCACGAGGCGATACCTCGCGCAGCAGCCTGCCCCCCCCCCCCCCAACACTGGCGAGCACGAAGGCAGTACTCCGCGCTCCGAGCGCCTCTAGAAGTGTCGAGAAGGAGTATTTACGCCCCGAGCACAACTACCCCTTCCATCTCGCGGATATAGAGACATGGGATGCGCCGAATCGTGATTGAAATCGTTGTTGTAATTATAGGAGTCGCCCTCCCGAAGATCCGTCGTGGCGATAAAAGAGCACACGTTCATAAATGCACGACCCACGCGAATACCGACTGCCTTGCCCCCTTTAAATCATACCGAGAGATTAAAAATTAAGTTTTGTTTTTTATCTTGCACCTGTTCAATGTCTTCTCTCACGCACTGCCGCGTTTGAAAGGGAACTTTTTCGCCTACGCGCCCCCGTTCGCCCTCTAGGAGTTCAAAGCGAGTAGATTTCGGTCACGCGGCCGCGGCCTTGCCCCCCCCCCCTCTTTTCCGTCCTCTTTGGCATTCCCTCCGCATGGCCACCCGGTGGCCACCACGCGGATGATAAAGCGGGGATACTTACCACATGGCTCGAGTGTGAAACACCGGGAGTATCTGCGGGGCGAGGAGGCCGGGGCCGCGCCGAGCCTCGCGTGCTAGTGCTGCTCTTATTGATTCCATCTTTACTGCGCTAATTAGGCGCCATTTGGAGGTGGCTGCGGGCAATGTGCGCGTTATTTACGGACGGTCGACATGCATCCCCAAATGGATGGCACCATAAACTTCACCTTTTTGGCGCCTTTCATGGCAGAAAGAAATGAAACGGCCTGCTGTGGGAAATGAATAACACAGACGGTATTTTTTCACTTAAGTTGTGATGAGTTGAACCTACAAATAGGATACAGGGATTGTGATTTTTGAGTTTTTAGTTCGGTACCCTGGTTCTGACATTTCTCCCCTTGGCCTATATTTGTTCGTATATCGGAGTCCTCATTTTTCACGATAGTCTGGTCTCAAA